GGGAAACTAATTTGGGAAAATATCAGTAAACTCACTGGACAATCAAGACAACTCAACAACAAAGAACGTTGGTTACGTTTTGTAAGCCCAGATTCTATGAGTATGGTGGAGCCCTTTAAGCCTCGCCTATTGGGAGTTAGTCCTCGACCATGACCAATGATGGAAGAGCTTTAATGTGTGCCCGCCCATCAGGTGGGTCCTGGTCCTATAAGAGAGGTGCGAGGACCAAAGATCACCTCCAAAAGTTCAAAGAACCCCAGAACCAGTGGGTCTCAATGCTTAAAGGACTCCGCCATACTCATAGAATCTGGGGTTACAAAACGTTACCAATGTTCTATGTCGTATGGCTCCGCCCTTTAAACCTTGCCTATTGGGTTAAAGGCGGAGCATGATGTATTAAACGCCCACTGGTTAAGTAACAAGGAATAAGTGAGCCCATAACGTCCTTACACAGCTGCCGGCGGGCGTAAGACAAGGATGAGCAGCTGTTAAGCTTGGTTTATGCTTGACACATTTCCTTTCCGCTTGGTGATGCGGCTCGCGGATGGAACACTCTTCACAACTTGCAGCGTTTATGGTTCATGTGGCTTGTCTCTGCGGTGAGCCAATATTCTCCCAAACTGAACGGGGCAGCATGGAGTTCTACGTCATGCATCCAACACTACACCATAGTAGAAGTAAAAATTACTGTTGTTTTACAACATGGCATTCCAGCATTTTTTAACAGCGTCCTTGTCTTTTCCGACAGTGCAAGCTATTTCTCTCCAAGAATTATTAACAACATGTTGACCACGGTGACCTCTGAGAGCTGAATCATACAACTGTCTGTATTTACGAACCTCTGCCACACTAGTTCTTGCCAGTCCGCCATGTTTTTCCGCGTCCGACCATCCTCGTGGCTAGAAAATTTCCTAGGTGCGCGGTGCGGAAATTTTGGGCCGTGCGGAGGCACGGTGGAGGGGCGTGGTTGTTAAAATGACGCAATTTCACAGCGTGGAGCCATGCGAACCTCACGGACGCATCAAGCCTAAACCAACATTAAGGCTAAGACTCCATGTCAAGGGGGGCGGGAGGGGTCGCCCAGAGGTCGCCTGGTAATGAGCCAGGGAGCAATGGGATGATATGAAGGAACACCAACACCAGAATACAATGGGTGGAGAAAAGCAGGGATTAATTGAGGAGGGACTCATTAACACATCCCTGATAACACCGAAGAACACTGGGTGTTAACATCAGCTGCTAAGAATAACATGTGAGAACAGCTGGGGATAATGGAGAGACAACTCATTAACATACCCCTGACAATGCAGAGAGAGGGAGGCAGATGCTGAGCTAATGACATTAATAGATAGAAATCAGACTGATACCTTACCAAGCACTGCGCTGGAAGCAGAGGTTCTTGACATGTCCTTCAGGTAGAATCTCACGAAGGAGCAGGGTGTAGCGTAATGGTTGTTGGCTCTTTTATGAAAGATAAACCATTCTACATAATAATCTGGAATATTAATTTTTACAAATTAATAACCAAATGTTATAGAGATAGGAAGACTCAAAGGTTGTTTTCATCGATAAACTGACGATCATATCCGTTTGTCTGTTTCAGTTCAATGAAAAGACAAGTTTAAAATTTAAGAGTTTTAATTCTTCAATTTAAACTAACGATTTGAAATGACAATCATAGGAAAAACAATCAACATTGGCAACCTTGTTGGGCAATCTTTAACAGTTGATATTTTAAGCTTGCACAATTAGACCTTGTGTTGGATTTGCTAAGATTTGAGAATGATGGAATTATGAATGCGTGCATGCAGGTGTCTGAGATTGCTTCGGGGAGAGAAAAGGTGATCTGAGTGAAAAATGATGTTTTGTAATTAAACTTTAGTTCTTATTAGAAAAACAGCATCATAACGCTATCTATTGTGTTCTGCCTCACTGTACTTAGGACCCCCGTTTAGATCTGGACCTCGGAGGATGTTTATCCAGGTCACACCTTGGCTGGCAGAGGAGACAAAGGTGTGCAACGATCCGGTCCAGAGTTGACCTCGGTACACATTGCTGAAGCGTTCGGCAGATGCGCTTTCTCAAGTTTAAATTAACTCAGAAATCAAAAGACTCTGGGACGAGTCTGCGTTAGCGGTTGCATTTCAGCTATTCTGTCTGGCTTGACAGAAATAGCGTGGAGAGAGAAAAGGAGCCGGCAGGGCTCCTTTCCCCGTGGCGTTCGTTCCGCAGTCCGCTCTCTTTCGTTCGCAATCTCGTTCTGACTAAGGCCGGGGACACACTGGCCGCGGAAGCGCCGCGAAAATGGGACCGCCTTCATTCGGCGCCCTTGTTAAGCTATTCTATAGACCACATGGGCCGCCGAAGCGCCGCGAATCGCCTCGCGCCGGCGCGCGCCGGCGCTCCAGCCCGCGCCGTGCAGCGATCATTTCGGCGTTGGCTCTATTTTTTTCGCGAGCCGCGGGTGAATCGCGTCAATTCTGGCAGGAAGTCAAACGTAGACATAAGAGGCAGGCCGGTAAAGTTAACAAAATAAAGCATTTCAAAATAAAATTCCGCAATAGTCAAATGTGTTCGTAAACAGACACTGCAGAAAAACCACACGAACACGCACACACATACACACACATCGAACTTGTGTGCGTGTGTGACCACGTGAAGGGGGGAGTGGTTTTGGGTGTCTTTTCACCGGAGCAAACAGGACAGAGAGGCAGAAAGTCTGAGGCAAGCAGTTAGGATGGATGACTTTAAATTAATTATGGAAGTTGAGAAACACAAGGAGCTGTACGACCCCCGAAAAACATGATTGTTTACGTACCCATGTCGGAAGAAACTGCTAGGATACAGCTGCAGAATTGGAGCGGGTTCCAAGAGATTCAACTGGCAGAAACAACTCATACCATAGGTTCACACACGCACGCGCACGCGCACAAACACTCTAACGTAGGAAAAGAGCTGAGAAAAGGCAGAGAGGAAATGGAGGACACCAAGTGTTTAAAAGAAAAACTACAGCTGAGCCGAGGCGCGCCTCGACTGGGGCGCGTCTGATCTGAACTGAGGAGCGGCGAGCAGCGGCCGAATTTCGTGAGCGATTCGCTTCTCGGCGCTTCGCGGCGCTTCCGCGGCCGGTGTGTCCCCGGCGTAACTTACCAAAAACCACTTCTCTTCCCAAAGCAAACTTGCTGTGCGTCAGAGCAAATGTGTTTTGAGTTACTGTGAAGTGGGACCTGTGTGAGAAGTGTGAAGGTCATCGCTAAACATCTTCAAAAACATTATTTAATTAAGTATACTGATTCATTATAGTTCATTATGATTACCCAAAGCATAATAATCATTCATTTGATTAAAATACATTTATAATGAGTAAAGTGATCAAATGATTATTAACATTAATAAAAATAAAGAAAGCTTGACTCTTTTATTATGACTAGACTGTGTGAGAATTCCTTCTTCCGGAGATGCAGGTGTTGGATGTTGTGAAGTTCTTCAGACTTGCTGGCGGCAAAGGTCTTAACCTGTGGGTGAAATTGCTGCGTGACCCAGCTCTGACCCAGCCGGGCAAATACGACCTTTGGCACAGAAAACCCATACTTCCTCACGTTACAATCCCCCCTTTCACGACGACATGGTGGTCCAGCGAAAACCACCTGACGTCGTGACCTCAACAACATGATGTAGTCATGACGGAAGACATTACAGTGTTCCAGATGAATGCAGGAGCGAGGAAGCTTCTCCCCACGTCTCGTGAAGAAAGGATTATATCCTGATTAGGTGATTAGGGCAAAACTGTTGCATATCATTGTAAAGTAATCCACTTAGGAGATCTTGAAAGCAGAGCTATTTCAATAGCAGTTAATTTCATCAGCAGCAATAATGCAAAGGCATATTCAAAAGGATAAGGTAGCCCGTGTGTCCACACGGAGCTGAGAAGGTGATAGCAAATATGTTTACTGGGCGACCGCAGAAGAAATTAGCTCATCACATGACGAAACAAATGTGCTCAAAAACGAAGCAGTTAGCAAAGGGCCAGCGTTGGAGCATTTTGTTCTTAGTTATTTAGTTCTTGGTAGACAATAAGCCTCACATCAAAGCATTGAGCCTGGCAGAACATGACGCAGAAAAAAGAAACCGAGACCAGAAAAAGGTCAGTGTGCATCTGACTCTTAATTTGTCAAGTAAAATAAAGAAATGATGGTATAATTATTTTGTTAAATGTAAGAAAACCGCGGCCTCCAGAATGTGCTTATAAGCACGCAATCGCAAGCAGAACTGTGTATTTGATGCCAGACGGTCCGCTGCGCAGCAAGTTCTGAGTCTGACGGACATTCCAGCTGTCATCCCACTCTCTCTTTACTTTTTGTTCATAAATGTAACGAGTGTGGGACTTTATTTGTGTGTCAGAATTTTATTTAAAAGAGTAGACAGAAAAAGTGTTATTATTTATTTATAGAGCTGGGGCAAATGTTTGTGTGCTGGTGGGGGTGGGGTGGGGGTGGGGGGTCTTGGTTTCTGGTTAACCAGCTACTAACCATTAAGGGGCATCAATTGCCGGTTAACACAATTTTGGTAAACGTACATCACTTGTACGATTATACTTTTCAAAGGTTTGAAATTTTTCGGTTTAAACCCCTTGTTTCATTGATATCATGTGCTGTTCTAATTTTCTGACATTCTTTATTTGGAGTTTTCCTCAGCTCTAAGCCTTATTCATCCAAATTGAAGTAAATGCAGGGTTGAACTATCTTGCTTTGTATGTAATACGTCTATCTCGTATAAAGTATTAGTTTCATCTTTTAGGTTGAATTACTGAAGTAAATTAGTTTTTGAGGATTTTAGCTGTTCTTTGAGTTGTATTCAAATCCTTGCAACCTTCATGGAAACATTGTTTATCAGTTTTCATGTTCATCAAAAATTGTTCACCTGTCCACAAACAGGCATTTCCAAACATTAGTTTGAGTTTTAAAGAATGATCTGCATTCTTGCTTATGATTTTCAAAGTCTATTATTCTGTATAATTCAGGTTCAGAATACTTCTGGTAACACCTCAGAAAAAAGATGTTCATGGCAACATGACAATAAGGGAGGATCTTGAGCTTCTAAAATTAACCCACCAACAATATTAATAAGCAATGAACCACAGAGATTTGGTGGGACAGCAGAGTTGTAACACTCCTCTGATGATGGAAGAAGAAGAATACGAACTCTGCTTTCCACAACTCCTCAATGCCTCCTGCAAGAAAATAAAGCACTCTTATTTTGGAACTGTGTTTCTCTCATTTATACTTTGTTTTATTTCTCTGATCACTGTACTTCTCAACTTGCTGCTCATCATCTCAATCTCTTATTTCAGGTAAAGCAAATGTAACCAAGGTGCTAAAAATACAACTTTACACTTCTTTTAAATAAAACAACAATTGATTTTGAAACAATAAAATTACATTAATTTATCTTTGTCTGTTAAATTATTTTTTGTTTCTGTATTATGTCTCCAGGCAGCTCCAGACCTCCACCAACCTCATCCTCCTCTCCCTGGCTGTCTCAGATCTCTTTGTGGGCCTTCTACTTTTCTTACAGATTACGCTGACAGATGGATGCTGGTATCTTGGTGACATTGTGTGTATTTTATATTTTATTTCAGCTGTAATTAATACCTCTGCTTCAGTGGGAAATATGGTGCTCATATCTATTGACCGTTATGTGGCTATATGTGATCCTCTACATTATCCCACAAAAGTCACAGTGAAACGAGTTCAAGTTTGTATTTCACTCTGTTGGTCTTGTTCTCTTGGTTATTCCATTGTGATTTGGAGTGATAATCTGAAACAGCCAGGCAGGGTTAGTTCCTGCTCTGGAGAGTGTATTGTTAGTGTTGGAATTATTGAACAATTTGTAGACCTTTTTTTAACCCTTGTTATTCCCATAACTGTCATCATTCTGCTCTATCTCAGAGTGTTTGTGGTGGCTGTGTCACAGGTGCAGGCCATGCGTTCCCATGTTGCAGCTTCCTCACAAAAACATTCAGGAACAGTTATTATCCAGAAATCTGAGCTGAAAGCAGCCATGATTCTGGGGGTTGTTGTGGTTGCGTTTTTGATGTGCCTGTGTCCATATTATTGTGTCATACTTACAGCTCAGAGCACTAGACTAAATAATGTATCAGCTGTGTTTGTTTTATGTTTGTTCTATTTTAATTCTTGTCTCAACCCCATGATCTATGCTGTTTTCTATCCCTGGTTTAGAAAAGCTATAAAACTCATTGTTACACTTCAGGTACTGAAGTCTGGCTCAGCTGATTTCAGAATATTGTAAAGTAAAACTAAGGGATACAAAAAGCCTTTAATTGGATGCTCATGAGTTACTCTGCCAACAACTCGTGTGTGTGTGTGTGTGTGTGTGTGTGTGTGTGTGTGTGTGTGTGTGTGTGTGTGTGTGTGTGTGTGTGTGTGACTGTGACTTACACATTTTCACTACTTAGTGTGCTGTGCTGCATTCTGGACCTTTACTGTGTCACAGCTGGCCTTTGACAAGGGTGATAACTTAAAATAAAAAATAAAAAACATGCAGAAGAAGAAAATATCATTTCTATAGCGCCTCTCAAGATAAAAATCACGAGGCGCTTCACAAAAACAAAAAATGTAAAAACATAAAAAGCATTTAGAAAATGTTTAAAAATATATTTAAAATGAGCCAAAATTGACAATTGTGATTAAACAAAATGTTAAGAAAGAGAGAGAGTGAATAGGAAAGAGGGAAATCAGTGGATCCTGAGGAAGGTGGAATAGGTGGGGAAAGCAGAATAAAGAGAGAGTGGAGCACCATCACATTAATTGAATAAAAGATTGTCTTCAGTCAGAGGCATTGCTAGAGAACATCCTACCTGCTCACAGAAAATGTTACAGTGGATGTTTGAAGACACTCAATCCTTTTTTTGATTTGGAATTTATTTGAATTTGAATGGACAGCAAGTCAGATAATTCATCATTAAACTCAAATGTGGTGGCTGTGTCACAGGTTCTGGCCATGCTCTCTCATGTTGCAGCTTCCTCACAAAAACATTCAGGGACAGGTATTATCCAGAAATCTGAGCTGAAAGCAGCCAGAACTCTTGGTGTTGTGTAATTATTTTATCCAGAATACCTTAGAGAATGTTTAATGCACAGGGGGTTAGAACAATAATCAATAATCAATTTACTTTGCAAAGTAAATGGAGAGACACATGAAAGGAATACACACCCAGTCATGTTTCACAAGAATCTCTCTATGGACTCAGTCTGTCAAGAGGTTTTATTTTGCGGACCAGTAGCACACGAACATTCACAAACATTCCATCTAACATGTGGAATAAAAACAATGCCAGGTGCATTCATTCAACAGAGAGTTTCCCATGGGAGTGTTACTGATAAATCAGACCCGCTTGGTCTGGAAAGCAAGGTCACTGTCCTCCCTGTGGAGGCTGGTGGAGGCTTAGCAACAGGAAACAGGATGAAACATGCGTTTAATCATTCTTAATGAAGCACCAGATGTTTTAGGAGTCAATAATATCAATTTTTACCTAACATTCCTCTCTGTAAACACTAGGTTCATCCCCTATAACTGACAGTGTAATAAAACAACAGTAACAATACCACGATTACGGTAAATATGTTTGTAATTGTAGAAATCAAACTTTAACACACAACGAAAGGATCACACAATAATTAGTGATCCCTAAATGGCTGTAAAATATGTAACAACCTGTAATGAGGAAAAGGCTGCAACAATAGGTAGCAACCTGTAATAAAATGGGTGAATATAATAATGATTATAATAATGATAAAGTAAAAAGTTAAAAGATAACAAGATCAACTGAGCTGATAACTAGAACATCATCCAACAACTGTTACAGAATCTGTTGGATATTTTTTTATATGTTCCTTTTTGAGTCGTTTGCTCCTGTAAGCTCATTGTTATCTCTGTTATCTCTGGAATGTGGTGTCCTGGGAGATGAGGAGCCTGTATGTCTGTAACTTGAGAAGGCCCGCCTTCTCTGTCATGTTTGTCAATAAAAACCCTGGGAAACTGAGGAGTGAGAGAGAGACGTGGGGGCAGCTCCGGAGGGGGTTATCCCTGCGTTTTCTCTCCACTGTTTGGCACTCAGTGTAAAATGAAATCCTCTTTGTATATGTGTGTTTATTTCAGGTTAAAGGGTCATGGACAATACGAATAATCAAATCTCATTCCTCTGTGTGTGTCATCCTTTAAGGTAATATGGGATAAATGAAAAATTACCTATCATTTGGTGCCGAAAGCCGTAATGGCAGAGCCGTCGGTGGGAAGCTGTCTTCGGGGAGCCGTGCTGGCACCACTTACCTCATCAAAGCCCGGGGTACTAAGACTGTTTCACCGGCCGGCTTTTTTAGCGCCGCAGGCAGATTCCCATTTATGCTCTCGCCTTCCTGAACTCAGGACGAATTTACCACGCAGGGGAGAGTAAGTACCTCATTATTTTGCACCTTTTTCCTTAACTGTTGGCAGTGTGTGTTTTAAGCTGATTGTGGTGACTGACATTCACGCACGAAAAGACGTTTTCGTGTCCAGCTAGGGGTTGTACATGTGAACCGCAAGGGTTGCACGGAACGTGAGCGGTGGCTGTAGTCCTGGCCTTGGATTTAGGAGGTTGTAATTAGTCTGTGTCCGTGCACACAGGCGTCCCGCAGTGCTGTGGGTGGTAATTACAGGTGAATGTGTAGTGGCACCTAAAACCGTTATATACACGCAGCACAGAGTCCATGTGCTGGTGTCGAGTGGAGAGGCTTGTTGCTAAAAATCACACTGCCGCTGGGATTGTTTAAATATTTTATGTGCGTCGAAGGTACACTAAAATTAATCACCGCTACATTTGGCCAAAGAATCCCAAGTCGGTCTAAATTCGGCCTTGCTGTGTGTTATTTGTGATTTGTTGTGCTTCTGGTACCGTGGGCTGCGTCCCATTTCTACTTAGTCAGGCTGGCTAATTCTGGTTGTGCAGATCTTTGTGGTTCTGTGATTCGTTGCTGAAATATTGGTGTCAGTTGTCGTTTTGTAAGTATATGTGTTGTGTTGTGATTTTAAAATCTGTGCTAAAGTGCTAAAAAACCCAGCTGGGAACGTTGTTTCGGCTGCCGATTCATTGCGTCTCTGTGTGTGTGATAGGGCTGCAACTAACGATTATTTTCATAATCGATTAATCAGTCGATTATTTTTTCGATTAATCAATTAATCTGTTTGTTATTGTTTAGCTATTTAACCTATACAAGTGATGAATACATTTCAGTTAAGAAAAAGAAAAACATAGGAGACTTGTGCAGTTGACTGCAATCTATTTTATTGCACACGAACAGTCAGCAGTTTAAAATGAGCTAAACAGTGCAAAATATCAGTCCAGAATAATTTTTTGGCATCAAAATATTAGAGGTAAATTCCATAAAAAATAATGTAGAATCTAGAATAGAGTTTGTAAGTGGTATGCATTGCTGGGGGGTGAGTGTCTTGTTCCCCATGTAGTTGTCCATTGTTGCTTGTTTTTCTTTCTGCAAGAAACACAAATAGACTGAAATAAGTACACATATAAAATAAAGCAGCATACACACTACAACACTAAATCAATATTATATTATTTGAATTAATTAACAATATACAGTGATCATTTATTTTGACAAAAATGTGTTGTGAGGCGTTTTACAGAGTTAGATAGTGAAACAGCCTTTTAATAGTAAAAAAAAATGACTTTCTGAATTTCTCCTGTATTTAAAAATTGAAAGCGTACAACTATGCCGCGTCATATTCACCTGGACACAGCTCGTCTGTATATTTTTCACCGCGGAGTTGTCCTTTTTTGAATGAGGAACATAGTTATGGGTTAGCGCCATTTTTCTCTTAACGAGAACATTCTTATAAACAGACATTGCTAAATTTGGCAAGCACATGATACACAACACGGAGGAGATTCACGATTGCATCAGAATCAATCAATCAGAAGTAGAACACCGTAGACTGACGCGGCAAAAAAACATGTTTAACATTCACTATAACGAACTCAGCTAAAACACTAAGTCCCAAATTTGATCTGCGTGTAGTGATGGACCACTATATTTAGCTTGTTTATTTTCTGTTACTTACCGGGCTGGCGTTTCCTCTGCTGCATTTGCCCCCACGTTTTCGTCTCAAATGTTCACTTAGGGACGTCGTGCTTCCGTGCCGTGCTAGATGGTTTTTGCATATTTTGCAGGTCACCCGTCTTTTCATCTAGAGTGAAGTGCTCCCATACTCGTGAGGTTTTTGTCCAGGGTTTCTCTTCAGTATTGTCGCTTCTATTTTTCTTCCGTATTTCTTCTTGTTCCGCCATCTCTCACAGCAAGATGCACATCAGTAACGTGTTACGTCATGAAAACCAAGGGCACTTATTGGCTCGTTTCTTCTTCTACGGCTCCACTGGTAGATCAGTGGCTCATTACTGCCACACACTGGCGGCAAATTGAACAGATTGTAACCGATGTCAGATTGTGGTAAAAATAGACTTTATGCGGTAAAATGTGATTATTAAACAACTAATCGATGACTAAAAAAGTTGTTAACTATTTTAATAATCGATTATAATCGATTAAATCGATTAGTTGTTTCAGCTCTAGTGTGTGATAACACCTGCAGGTTCGGTGTTGTCCTATCCTGTCCTGTTCGTTCTGTTCTGTGCATGTATGAGAAAGTATGAATGTAGAGGTACTGGAAAAAAGAAACAAGACTGTTTGACTAAAGTTCTGGGACGGTGTGTTCAGGTAGAAGTGTATTAGTTGCCGTTTCACTGTGTGTATTGGTTCGGCTGCTGTCTTGTTGCATTCGAGCAGTGGCGGCTGGCCAGTAGAGGGCGATAGGGCACCGCCCTCCCAGTTTCCCCTGTGTTTTTAATTTTTATTTAAAAAAATAAATAAATAAAATGAACAATAATCACATATTCTAAGTTAATTGTGTGTTTTGTAACAAAAATAAATTATATATATATATATATATATATATATATATATATATATATATATATATATATATATATATATATATATATATATATATATCAGGGGTGGACATTAACTTCAAAACCAACCGGCCAGCCGGGCCGGTAACTCTGAATATTTACCGGCCCCACCAAGAATCTACCGGCCCCACTGGTCAGCTGCCAAAACGAGTCAAAATAATAACAGAACCGTTTTAAATGTAATAAACCTTTATTTTGTACACATTCACAAACATAATAACGTATTCAAGTTTGAATTTGTTTGTTCCCTCAACAAAACACGATTTTGTCGTCGCATACTTCCGGCATACAACGCAGTACATCACCAACTCCGCTTTGCTGT